GCGAACGAAACACGCTCAGCCGACGGAGCACGTTCATTTTTTGAACTTTGAATAGGTTTAGTGTGTTGAAACTTCTGCTTGGTGGTATTATACTGGATTTCATAGTATAAAATATGAAGAAGAACTAACGTGTCCGGTGGAGACACCGAACTAACCGTGCCGTGTCTTTAATGCGATGCAAATGCCGGCTGGACGATAATTATCGTCTAATTAAGACGATTATAGAATTGCAGCGGCGAACGAAACACGCTCAGCCGACGGAGCACGTTTCGAAGCACGAGGCTTCAGGTGCGACGTGAGAATATAGTCGTGGCACGTCGATAGAAATTAACGTCAGAAACGTCAACGGTTTTCCGTGACGCAAAATCTTTAGCTCGACCTGTAACCTCGATTAACGGAAGATATCGTTCGATTATAGACGATCTACGCCTTTTTTCGAATCTTCTCAAATTAGTAAAAAAAAAGAGGAAAGAAAAAGAATTGGCAAATTTCTCGTCTCGCAGATTTTCAATCTGAACCGTTTAAGTGTGAAATTTGCGTATGCTTGAAAAGTGGCAAGTTATCGAATTATGGTTACACGTTGCGATAGACGCTTCCTTAAAAAGTCATCGCCACAAAAGTTAACACGTTATGTATCTCGAGTATTACGTTACTCATGTGATGCAATCGAATCTGTTGTAGTATTATATGTAGTTCTCGAAACACAATATGAATCATGTATATGTGTGTCGTTGAAGCAGAATTTTCTTTTAACACGTTGCAAGTGAATTAAGGTAGATCCACCATTTTCTACTGTATCAGTGAAAACTTCGTTCTCATACGCTATTCTCCGACCTAAGATAATGTAATGGAAACATTCAGTATTATCCACAAGCACACGATTTTTACATGTATCGAAATTGCTGATTAACTCAATAGAGCGAATTGTAAATATAAAAAAATACTATTCCAAAAAATGTTTCATAAAAAGAACCATCGTTCAATTTTATTACATAGTAACACTGCGGTTACGTCCGTCAACTGAAATTGTAAGAATGAAACTAAGATGAAATTAAAAAAAAAAAAAAATTATTTTTTAAATCACTTTGCCGCCTAAAAAAATCCCATTGACCCGTTCGCAGAATAATCTTCAGCTACGGGAAAAACTGCTATCTGATATAATACTAATCTATCAGAAACAGTAACTCGAAACGGCGTTGCGCAATGGAGTGATGTACCGAATGAAAAAGTGTGTATTTCGGGGAATGACACGATCCCCGGATTCGTAATTGTCGATCGAGAGAAACGTCAAAGTGCAGGACGCCCATCCCTCGGCATTGTGCCCTTCAAAGCGCTTTGATCCATTGTGCTTGGCGCGACAATTCGACGCGCACACACCCGACACACAACGCGGTTGCAATGAGCTCACGAGGTCGACCACTGTTTAGAGGAGCGTGTGTCGGCACACACGCCTATCTAAACGACGTCGAACGTGGATCGATGGAAATTTTAAGGTTTGAACCTTTTTCTCATTTTGAGGGGGGGGATCGTAGGAAACGGAGAAAAGTTTAGGATTGAAAAATGAATTTTGCGACGAGTATAGGTGGTAGTAGTAGTATCTATAAATCTTTGGATGTCAGTATTGCACGAATAATTGAGAACTGTTCCTGGAAGTGAAGACGATCTTGTCTAAAGTTAGAGATTTTACGAGATTCCAGGAAATGAGTCGGAAAATCCCAACGGCGTGAAAGGCGATGTGTCCACCGTGAAATGGCAATCGTGCAATTTACAGCAACAGGCTGGAAGAACTTTTAGACGTCTGTTATTTTTAACGCGTTAACTGCCTCAAGAAGCCAACGTGCGCGCATCTCGCGTGCTCGCGTTTAATAGGCCACGAAATGTGTCGCATTATCGCGTGCTGCTCTAACTTCTCCGCTTCGATATCTCTTTGAAAACGTAGAAAAAATTCCGGCCTCGATTCTCCATTGTCATTCTTTTCCAGTTTTCAACGCATCATAGAGATTTCTAATTTTCCCTTATTTTACAAGGAAGATGGAAAATTCCCTAATTTTTCAGACGCGAGAAAAATCGTCTAATTTCCAAAATGCAGGGAAAACTCTTTTTCCGATTTTTAACGCATCACGGAGATTTCTAATTTTCCCTTATTTCACAAGGAATAGAAAATTTTTCAGACGCAAGAAAAATCGTGTAATTTCCAAGACACAGGGAATACATTTTTCCAATTTTTAACGCATCACGGAGATTTCTAATTTTCCCTTATTTCACAAGGAATAGAAAATTTTTCAGACGCGAGAAAAATCGTGTAATTTCCAAGACACAGGGAATACATTTTTCCAATTTTTAATGCATCGCAGAGATTTCTAATTTTCGTTCCAACGAAGAAGAAAATTGGAATTTTCAAGAGACGACGGAATTCCCAATTTCCTCTTATCCAAGGAAAACACCGCCAGAGAAGAGGACACGAATTTCGAACGCGTCGAGGAATTTCTAATTTTCATCTAGACGAAGAAACAGAGGGAAACCAAGTGGAGAACGTGGGAGGATGCAAATGTTAACAGCCTTGAGTCGATTCCGTCGCAAGTAGGATAGGTGCATAGGTGAATTCACACGTTCGCATACGGACACGTATGATTCATTCACGCCCCATGTTCGAACCCGTTAACTCCGATCACCGTATAGTTTAATAAATAACTTTCGCGACGATACACCTACTATCCTTCAAATACAAATATATTATTTATCATCAATAACGAACTGCCTGAACATTTGCGTCAACATTTGCCGTATTATCCGCGGAGCTTTAGATAAATTGCGTCCGATTGAATATTGAAATTCTAACTACCAGGTAGTATAGGTACCTGTTACGATTTATTACTTGTCGTATCTTATTTTCAACAGCGAGCACGATCATTTCGCGCGCACGATAAAAATTGAAATTGTTCGGTGAGATAATAATTCAGTCTAAAAAAAAAAGAAAAAGAAGCAAGAGAGGGAAAAAAACGAGCTGCGGAGAAAGTCTCTCCAAGTGTACGTATGATCTAAGTCGATCGTTAGATCACGCCGCGATAATTGCGGATAAAATGTAGGCAGCCTGATGTAAGCAACAGGTGGGCGTTTCTATTTCGCGACTACTCTCCCCTTTTATCACCACAGATCTGTTGTCCTTCTTTCTAATCAGAACTTCCACCATTTTTTCTCTTTCCAAGGAAATTTCTCCGAAAATTGTAATCACAAATCGTGAATCAATCCTCCGCCGAATAAATTTACAGAATTTTATTTAAAAAAAAGGACATTCCACGCAAGTTGAACACGTTCGAAATCAGTTTTCGACCATGAAAGGTAAAAAAACTGTTGCATAATGTTACAAGACCGAAATAAAAAGTAACGGGTGATTAACAAAAGGTTAAAAACCCAGTTTTTTGTTTTGTTTCTTTCTTTCTCGAATTTCCAAGTTCGAGTATTTTAACATCGGTCGTATGATTTATGGCAATTTCTCGGACAGGTTCTCCTAAAGAACCCGTGCGCGAGGGTGACACCGTCGACGTGTATTTTTAACATTCATACCTCGTTACATTACGCGTTTTAATAGGCATAAGTGACGTAAACACACGCGTACGATGCAATAATTTTCACCGCGAAAAAGCGCGGATTCGACAGAGACGGCGAACATTCGTCGTCTCTTCCCAATAACAAAGGCTCGCTTCGAAAGAATGAAAAACGACGAAAAACCTGTTCTGTTTGTCACGTGTCGAAACCTACGTGACAGTGGCATAGGTGTGTGCGTGCGTCTTGTCTTTTTTGTTTCACTCGCTTTTCTTTAAACCGGTCTCTAAAACACACCGTTTCCAGCGTGTACGCGGCGACAATACGCTTTTCAGCCGCACATGTCAATAACAGGCTGCCTACGCCTAATCGACTACCTGCTACTCACGCAAATAGAGTTATTTCTGTCGTTAGCTAGTTCGTTTATGGGCATCGAAATGGCAGATTATAGCGGATGGTAGTTAAATTAATGCAAATCGGAAAATTATCGAAGATTCTTCGAGATTTAGATGGAGATTCACGGTGATTTATGAAGGTGTGAAATTTTAACGATTCTTTTTTTTAAAGAGATGCGAACTAGAGATTCTTGAAAAGTAGAGAAACTGAGATTAGAGAGCTTCGAGTATCGAAAGGTTCAAATTTCACTGTGTGAAAAATCTTAAAATAAAGATTCAGTAATGAATGATCATATTTCCATCTAGATTTATAGAAACCGAATAAAAGATCTCAAGAAAATTCATTTCTCTCGTTACTAGAAACATCTAAGTGTACAAACCAACGAGGAAAATATTTCATAAAAAATTCCTATGATTTGAAATGGAAAGGGTTAAACAGGAGTTAAATACAGTCAACGCCGTCAGAGTCTTGGAGTCGTTAAGGCATACGTCCATCTGAAAGTTTCTCCACTAGAGATATCTCCACCCTTAAATGAACACTCGCCCTCAGATCTACCTGACACTCTTCGACAACCCTAACCACTGTACTACGAATTTCTATGCATTCATGTAAAATTTCAGAGCAGAAAAATCCACAGAATGACACATAATAATCAAAAATATATAAGTCCAAAACATAGCACTCGTCGTAATACTCAGCGAACGTTTATCTTTCAATTATATTCATAAAAATCCTAATCACTCATACGTCAACCTTACAATAAAAATTCACCCAACTTCCTCCTATCCAATTGTCACACAAAAAAATAGCTCTGGAAGAGGGTTAAATTGCAAGTGAAAAAAGAGACAGCAGAGAGATCTCCTTATAATATTCAGCGAATAAAGCAACTAACCTATCCAACTTTTGTTTTTCTAATCCTACTCAGTCATACGTCAAACCACAACCGCCTTGCGCTAAAAATTCACCCAACTTCCTCGTATCTAAATTGTCACACGAGAAGATAGCTCCGGGAGAGGGTTAAATTGCAATTGAAGAGAGATCCCCGAATTAGAGACTCCTACCATTCACGTAGACATGGTGCTGCCTCCATAGATGCTGGTACTGTGTCCAGCGGGAGCTGGTGCTGTCCTCGTGGATGGGCGGAAGCGGCGCGTGCACCTGATGGCCGTGAGAGGTGGGCGGTAACGGTGGTGGCGGTGGTTGTTGGGGTTGCTGTTGGTGCGCAGGCGCGACCACGATGTGAGGATGGGGCGGTTGCACCGGTTGCTGCTGATGTTGCTGCTGGTGATGCGCTTGGTGCAGCACGCCCGGTACCGGCGGTGGCGCCAATTGCTGGTACTCCATAGCGCAGCTCATCAGCTCCGTTCACGCGTGCATTTAAAATACCCACCCCTTTATCTCTACGTTTTCTCACACCGGTTTTCTCAACGAGTTACTTTTCCAAGTCCTATCTCACTCACTTTCTCTCTCTCTCTCTCTCTCAGTCCGTCTGTATCGGAAATTTTCGTTATTCGCGACGAAACAAGAATTCTTGCGAGAAGGTTTAAACAAACAAAGAAACAAACAGCACTACTGTTCGAAAAATGTAAACGGTGTGTCTCAAGGTAGGAAACGAAGAACACTACCGAGGCGGCATCCGCGTTTGCCACTTGTCATCTGCGCGTAATTTTATCCTCTCTCTCTCTGTCATCCACTGCCGAGTGTCCTTTTCTCTCTCCTAGCCGTCACTCGACGGACACTGTATACTTCACTTGGAACTTCCACTCTCGGCGAAAAAGAGCGAAACTGAACACGAGATGATTCTGGTACGACGGAGTAATCCTTCACGTTCGAAACGTAAATTCGTCTTATTCGTCAACCCTTTCAGGTAAAAACGATTCACCTGCCCCTTCCTTCCACACTCATCCCCCTTCCTGCGTCCGGCACCACCAGAGCACGTGAGATCGATCCTCGAACGACGATTTTAAACACGGTCGTCGTCCGCCTCCTGTTCAACAAGTCCCGAGAAGAAACGCGGACGACAATCCCGAAAGTACTGGCCAGCAGCGAGGAGAGAAGGAGCGCGGTGCGAGCGTCGCGCGTAGTACACGGTCGTCGTGTGTCGACTGTCAAAATCAGCGATCGTCAGCGTCTATCCGTCGTCGGTGTTCGCCCATTGGGCCGTCACCGTAGCCGGAAGCGGTGCTCCGATTGGCTCTCTGGACGGGTTCCTACGTTACAGGCTGGTGTGGGGAGGGAGAGAGAGACGATCATGCGGCTTAGACGTCGATCCTGAAAGCGAGGTTCCGCGGTTGGAGAGGCGAGACAGCACGAGGAAGGGCAACTGAGGGAAACGTTCGGTCTATCCTATATGGTGGAGAGGGAGTTACCACACGCAGCTTTACTCCGATGGAGAGAGAGAAAGAAAGAGTGAGAGAAGTAGGAGGGAGGAGGGGTTGTTAGAGCGAGACAGAGGTTGAACAGGTAGAAGTGAATATTAAATAAAAAAAAAAAAGGGAGGGAGAAAAATAGAGAGAGAGAGAGAGAGAGGAGAAGACGTAGAGCCGTGAGGTGCGTGGCGTCGAAGCTGCGGCGTCCGGAAAGACACTGCCACTAGCGAGCGTCGCGTCGCCGTACGGACGCTCTGTGTTTCGCTCTCTTCCCTCTCCACGATCACCGCCGTTTCTCCTGTATACAACACCGTTCCCTCCTCCAACGTGTACAGTCGGTCTCTTTCGCGTTCCAACATCCGCTTTTACCCGCCCCCACCTCCCACCATCGCGCACCCTGCAGCTGGGATCCCCCTCTTTCGGTGTTACATGCGCACAGTCCGATTCTTCTACTTCCTCTTCTCTTGCTTCGGGGATCTCTCGCTCTCTGTCTTTGTATGGATATTTCGTGCTTGTAGAGTGATTTTTTTCGTTTTTCGAGGTTCTTTTTTGGTACGCGTCTAGGTGGTTTTCCGAGGGAACGTTGCTGGCCAATGAGATTTCGCTTGGAGAGATGCGAAAGGGCTTCCGCGTTCGACGAGGTGAAACCTCTGGTGTATCGTGGACCTCGAGGACACTGGATCGTCGATACGATTGTTGGGTCTTCTAGGAGAGCTTTCGGTTTTAATCGATCGACACTGAAACTACCGGCTAGATGAAAATGACTCGTTAGCAATTTTCGAAAAGAGGTGATTATTCACTTTTGAAAAGTCATTTTGACTCGGTCGGTAATTCTGGTGTTAAATCGCTCTCAAATTTTTTCTGCTGTTCTTTACAGAATTAACGCATGCACCGTGAATTTGAGCGAAATAACCGCGGGACTACAGTAGAAAAGCTGGATCGATCCTCTCGATAAAGATACTCGAGAAAAATAGCACGAATTTTTCCCGGATTTTTCGTCGAGTCAGTGTCTGACTACGAACGAGAACTTTCTACTCGCAAGAACTAGGCGGTAGGATCAAACAGCATCCCCGTTTCGAAAAACCCGGATCACACACCGCGGGTAAAGCTTCTTTTGGGCAGAACGTGAACAGGTCGAGAAAAAGACGGAGACTTTCCGTTTCGATGGACGGATGAAGAAAAAGGACGGGAGAGCTAGAGAAAGAAAAGAAAGGGAAAATTGGAACGAGAGACACGTCGTTAAATGGAGAGGATAGTAGACGCGGTTGTCCCCGTTTTCTACGTCGGATCGACCCACTTCCTGGTGCGTGGTTCGATCGTGACCGATCCATGAAATTAACGGTAACGGAGCGCGGCCGTACTCGCTGAGTAAAATCGAAAGTGGCGAAATACCGCGACGCCGTGCGTTTAAAGAGGGGACAGGACACACGAGTGGGGAACAGAGAGAGTTGCTCTTCTGTTGCTCCTCGAAGGAAAGATTGTAATGGCCACGCGAGGCCTCTGGCAGGCTTCTATTCCGACGAACGCGTAGACTCTCGAATAAACGTGTTCTCGAGGAAGTCTTCAATGGTCCAAGTTCAAATTCTTAAAAAAAAAAATCTGAAGATTCCCCCGAGATTGCAAATCTGAATTCTCCAAAAGGAAAGTTCAAAAGAAATCTCCAATTGTTTAAAAGAAAAAAGAAAAAAATAAACAATTATTCCATTGCTTTTGCACCTTGTCTAAGGTAAGAAAATCGTGTTCCAGGATCGATTAGTTTCGACGGTCAACGTAGTTGGCAAGTAAATCATCGAGTCCAGGCAGACGAGTTGGCAGAGTTCCCGTTTCGTTTTCGTTCGCGTCGACGACGCGACCTTTCTCCTCGTTGGTCGCCACGGAGAAAGGGAAAAAAAGCAACGGAGGAGGGAAGATAGCGACGTTAATTCTGCTGGAACCGGCATAAAGCTCTGAATCACCGGTGAACCGGTCCCGTACCGTAAACGCGATGCCTGTTGTGCGAACGCGGAAACCACGAGGAGGCAGCCAGCAGCTTCGTGCGGGTCACGGAAGGATTCCTTTCTCCTCCTCCTCCTTCTACCATCATTCTTCCTCCTTTTATTATTCACCGTTTCTTTGCTTCATCATTTCGTTTTCGTTGCTTTTCTCCCCTTCTTCTTCTTCTCCTCTCTTCTTCCTCCTCTTTATTGTCCTTTCTTTTTTCTTTTTTTCTCACTTTTGAACGGATACGCACAGATGGTGCGGTTGTTATTCAGTGTGTCGTTTCATTTTTTGCTCTTTTTCGCATCATTCGGAACTTCTGTTGTGTCATCGGTTTAATTGGATTATGGTAACGCAGAACGAGGAAGTTACGGGGGAACCTTGCAATTCGTCGACGCAGAATTTCTTTATTTTCTTTGGAGAATTGTACTGGAAATTTTGTCGAAGTTGGATTTCATACTTATTCTCTTTTTTAATAAATTTTGAAACTGAAATCTTCCCTTTTTTTTTTACTAAATATTGATTTGTGAGTGATATTCCCTAATTCTCTGGGATTTTGCTAAAGTTGCATTTGATACTAATTATTCTTTTAATTAATCTAGAAACTGAAATTTTTCTCTCCTCTTTTTTTATTAAATATGGATTTCTGAGTGATATTCCCTAATTCTCTGGGATTTTGCTGAAGTTGCATTTGATACTAATTATTCTTTTAATTAATCTAGAAACTGAAATTTTTCTCTCCTCTTTTTTTATTAAATATGGATTTCTGAGTGATATTCCCTAATTCTCTGGGATTTTGCTGAAGTTGCATTTGATACTAATTATTCTTTTAATTAATCTAGAAACTGAAATTTTTCTCTCCTCTTTTTTTATTAAATATGGATTTCTGAGTGATATTCCCTAATTCTCTGGGATTTTGCTGAAGTTGCATTTGATACTAATTATTCTTTTAATTAATCTAGAAACTGAAATTTTTCTCTCCTCTTTTTTTATTAAATATGGATTTCTGAGTGATATTCCCTAATTCTCTGGGATTTTGCTGAAGTTGCATTTGATACTAATTCTTTTTTAAATAAATCTTGAAACCGAAATTTTCTTCGTCCCTCTTTTTACTAAATACTAATTTGTGAGCGATATTCGCGAATTCTCTGGGACCCCATCTACCCCAAAACGGTGATGAAAATTTCTCAACGCAATTTCTCAATAGAAAAATGAAATCGGAGGACGAGGAAAATCTATTGTCTCGGCTATCAGATATTAATAACGTGTCTGGCTTATATCCAGCGAGGTTCGGAGATCTCGATGCGAGCAGAGACGCTTTCATTTCCCGACTAAAGGTTAAACTGTTGCTACGGTCTCTAACGATGGTACACGAAATGGGAATCGAGACAACCTGTTGATCCTGCCGCTTCCTTTCACTCCCAGTACCACAACAGCCCAGAGACCGACGGGACACAGAAAAGAAGAGGCGAGCCCCGTTCGACTGACTTACCACAACACGCTCTCGATATTTCGTAATCGAGACGAGGTCTGTTCCGTGATATTCCATCAACTTAGCCCTATTTTTCTTTCG